AAGGAAGGAAGGAAGGAAGGAAGGAAGGAAGGAAGGAAGGAAGGAAGGAAGGAAGGAAGGAAGGAAGGAAGGAACTCCTGTGATTCAGGAGACCAGCACTCCTGCAGAAGGGGCTGGCTGGCATCTTTATCTTTCTGGCCAGGGAGCCGGAAAATCTTGCTGGGGCTAAAAACTCACCCTGGATCATAGAAACAGAATCCTACAACAGTTTTGATTGGCAGGGACCTTAAAATTCACCTCATTCCAATGGCCTTGCCAACAGCAGGGACAAGCCCTGTCCAGCCTGGCCTTTAACACTCCCAGAAATGGGGCAGCCACAGCTTCTCTGGGCAACCTGTGCCAGGGCCTCATTACCCTCACAGGGAAGCATTTCTTCCCAATATCTAATCTCTGTATCAGTCTAATTCCATCACTACATGCCTTTGTATAAAGTGCCTAGCATAGTCATGGCAGAATTTTTAGTGGCAAAGTAGGAGCCTAATTCTGTATCATGCTCAAATCCCTACAAGTTCCTGTGATCCATGTATAAGTGGGGATTATTCCTATCCCCACCAGAGACGGCATCCTCTGCCATGGTTCACCATCACCCTAGAGAAAGTCCACCTGCAGATGGCATGACAAGCAGGTAGAAGGAATTCCAGGGCATTCCTGGCTTTCCCTCACCCTCTGTATGCACATTAAATTCCCCAAACACCAGCGAGCTCTGCCATATGCCTGTGCTAGTGAACAGGAGAGACCAAGCTGGAACTCGAATCTGGTGGATGCTCATTTTTTTCAGGCAGTAGCTGTGGATTCACAAAAGAGACTTGTTATTTCATTGAAACGGAATTTCTTTTGCCCCAATAGTCTGAGAGCTGAAATTATCTCTGAGTAAAGCAGCTTGTGGACTCTTGAGATTTCAAGAGGGTTTGAGGATGAAAGCCAGAACTGAAGTCTCCCCCACCCACTGCCTATTGGAGAGGGTCAGACCACCACCTCATACCCCTGTTTTCCCTCCACATGAGTAGAGAAATCCTGTTCTGTCTTATTCCCCCCAGTCCAGTATCCCTGTGATGGCTGTGAGAGGAGCCCTGCACTGGAAGGGTGTGGGAGTGGTCCTCACCTGGTCCATGAGGGATCTTGGTCACAATGGATACAATCCCTCACTCACACTTCTTCCCTTGGCAACCACACAGCAGAGAAAGAAAATCAGCCTTGAAAACGCCATGTGATTCTGACTCCTAGTACAAAGGCCAACCTCTATTTGTCAGGGAATAAGGATGCTGTAGGAGTGGAACTGAGAGTGATGGGGACAAAAGGGTAGGCAAGGACTCCCAGGCCTTGATCTTGGGATACAGCAGTGCCCAAGAAGACCAAGACCACGGCAGGGCCAGCCTCTCCAAAGGTGATGCACCCTCTTAGGAGCAGCTGGCAATGGACAGTAAAATAGAGATAATGGTGCAAGATGTTTTTGGGAGTGGCTTTGCAAACCATTTTTTTCCTTCAGACTAATCAAGTACAAATGATGGAGGAGAAACCTGGCCTGGGGCTGCAATCTGGAAGAGCAATTGAAGCTCTTATTAGGGTAGACACCACTGAACAGCCTGTTTGCAGCCTCAGCACCACATTGTCTCCAGCTAATTATGTTCCAATGGCACAAAAATTGCAGGATTCTTCAAAATTTTTCCAACACAACCGAAAAAAAAAAATAAAAAAACCAAAAAAACAACACCACACCACAGATCTTCCCCCAGCATACATATCTCTCCTTTCTCTGCCTTTAAAACCTTGCTTCTGTGTAGCTGGGTGGAGTAGTGCCGTGCAACCTCGACACATGAAAGCATGGCCACGGGGCTGCCACGAGGATAAAAGTGGTAGTGACAGTGCCTGGTGGCACTGTGACATGTGCTGTGCAGCAGGGCAGAGGGCAGCAGGCACCACGCACTTTGCAGCAGGGCAAAGGGCTCTGGACGAGTCAATGCGAACTAACTCTGGGTTAAAGTGGTTGACACTTCAAAGCACAGAACCCCTGGGGATAAAGGCACTTGCAAACATGTTTTCAAAGTGATGCAAACTAAGGGAGAGGTTTAAAGCAGCCTGTGAAGGCACTTAGCATTCACCACTCAGAGAGGTGCCCAGGGCATCCTAACCATCCCCAAAGGCGGGCACAGTTCTCCAACCTAGGGCAGCTGGAGCCAGACGGGGAAATAAATTACTTTTCAAAAGCCCCTATATTTTCTACAGGCTCCTGGACAGCTAAACAGGGGCTGCTTTCCCATCACATACCATGACAGAGATGTGGAGGATCCTCAGCTCCTCCTCTGCAGACTCAGTCTGGGGCTCCTCTGTGGGGTCGAAGCCAGGCAGGTTGGGGGTCCCGTCTTGGTGGTGGATGTGGAAGAGCAACGTGCCATTCTCCAGCCACTGCTGCCGCCAGCGCACCAGTGGGATGTCATCCGTGTTGCCTGAGATCTCTGCAAGAGCAAAGCTGGTCAAGGGGGAAATGGGGAGCAGAGGGTTCATGGGAGATGTTCACCTCTTCCCAAAAAAATGGGTGGAGGGACCAAAGGATGCACACCCTCCAGTCACCTCCTGCCAGCACCATGGCTGCCCCTACATAAATCACAGCCTGAAGGGCTAAAGCAGAGTAAAGTAGTATTTCTGGGTATAAGCCAGAGGTGGGCCTCTCAAAAAATCCAGCTGTGGTGCAGGAAGACAGCATTTACTGACAACAGTAACTCAGCAATGTCCTTCCAGCTGTAATTTGGACAGGTTTCACCTACACGCTCTATGTTAAACACAGCTTCAGACATTGGGAACACAGGTTACAGGACAACTTCTCAGCAGCATGATGGGATCATTGGGAACATCACAAATTATTGCAGACAAAATATTTACTATCTTTTGTGAACACTGAAACAGGAACATGGCCGTGATTTCAGAGATTTTTCAGTTATCAACCATTTTTACAGCTCTCCATCCAAGACTCAGCCAAGAGACCTGCAGAGGTACCTGCAGCTTCTGCCCAAGCAACCCTATTTTCCCTAAGTACCTTTAATTCCAGAGTTTGGGACAGTAAGACAGATGGACAAAGCTGGGCTGTCATGACAGTAGAGGACACCCAGGCAGGAAGAGCAGCTGACGACAGGGACACGACACATGTTCCAGGATACTAAATGTCAAATCAGACCTAATTCATCTGGCTGGCTCCAAAATTTCAGGGACATCCTACGGCTGGGTCTCAGCCAAACACAGGGTAATACGAACACCCCTCCCTAGGAGAGATGGGCACTGTTTTAATCACTATCTCCCCCCCAGACCAAATCAACTTGATCACCATCTCACACCACCTTGATCTCAGCCATCAGCTCAAACCTACCTGCCTGCCTGTTAGCTATTTTTCGTGAAAATAGCAAATTTTGTTGGGATGACCAGAAAAAACACAATGAGCTTCCCACTGAGGCACAGCTTTCCCTCCTGTATCTGCTGCATTGATGGCAATGGGAAAGCGTCTGCCTCACTTTGCAAATTATCATCTTTATTTTGCTTGTTTCATGCTGCCTTCAAATGAAAACTGGAATTCAATTACAGTGCTGAAAAACAACATTTTAAATTTGCTGTTAATTAATTTCATTAGGCTGCCTTAAGTGAACTGGCTGCCAGGGGAGGTAGGGAGGGGGGAAAAATCTGCATCGAGAACCAGGTTCATCCCCCCATACTGATTTGATTAATCAAAAGAAACATTAGCCACAGCGAGTGAATTGGCAGATTGTTTGTGCTCAGCACGGGCCATGTTTCTGGTGGTGATCAATGCACTTGGAGTGTCCCGAGCACAGGGATGCTGAGCACTCCACAACGCTCATGGGAAGCAAAAGCAAGAGTTAAGTTACAAGGAAGCCAGAAGCACTTTTAAAATTCCCTCTCTAACTGCTGAGCTCTGTGTTTAGGGACATGGATCCCCTTTGAAAAACCAGTCCTGGGAGCTGGGAGGATTTGAAGCAACAGATCTCTTCCTCTCCCACATGGCCTTTATTCATGGACTGAGAGGGGAAAACAAGCTTGCCTGCTTTCACAACTCCCCACGGCTTCTCAACTTCCTATGAACCAGCTCAAATGGAAGAAAACACTCTCCCTGCACCTGCCTGCTAAAGTGAAATTAGGAGTAATTAAGGCAAGAGCATTTATGCACAGCAGGAATTCAACATACTGACATTTGGAAAAAATGTAAATACCAGCATTTGTTCCATTGTAAAGAGGGAAAATAATAGATACTAAGTATGTGACATTGTGACATTTAGAAAGCTAGAGTTAGAGATGTTTTCTCCCTCACCTGACATATCATTGTAAAAGCAGCACCCTTCAGCTCATTAATATTTGAGAAGAAATCCTTGATGGAAGTTATTTAAATGATTAATAGATTATCGTAAATTTAAGCCTTAAAATAGGTTGTCATGATTTCAAATTTATTTAAACAGGCTTATTTTTTAAAAGAAAAATGTATTTCAATAAAAAATGGATTATTGTTTTAGAAGAGCACAATCCAGCTACAGAGTCTGAGCATGTTATCCTCTTTCACCAGACATCACGACATGACCCTGCAGCTGCATTGCACACAGGTCAGAAGTGCAAGACACAAAGGAAAACACCCCAGAAATCAATCACCATCACCCCAAACTGGCAGGCTATGAGCCCTTCATCACACTGCAGCACAAGGCTGCACCACCATCTCTGCTCCTACCGGGCAAAGGCTCTTGAGGCAGTGACTGGATGAAAGAGCTTCAGCCTTGCTTGGACCTTCTCCTCCCTTCCTCAAGTGTCTCAGCAACACGGCAGCTGCCTCTATCCTACTCCATTTCTACTTAAAAAATTTACACATGTAAATGCTTTCCTGCATCCATTAAGCTCTCCTGGAGATTGGTTTAAGCAAGACCAAGACAACATCAAGACCAAGCTTCCTCCCTAACATAGCATCTCTTTACTATCTCTTTTCCTAGTCCAACAGATTTCACTTTTCCCTTTGTCTTGCTCTCCAAGCAGACATCTCACCACTTGGTGGGAGATGCTACAGTGACCTGTGTAGCCAACTGGGATGAATTATCTGGATGTCGTAGGGTGCCAGCTCTGCTACAGAGCTGGCAGGTGCCAACCCTGCTGACCAGTTTGTACAGTGGGGCCAGGATGCCCCAGAGGAGGCAGAAAAATGGTGGGGGGAGAGGATAATTTCAAGTTCAAAGTTTGAAAGATATTGATGAAAAGGCTGGTCCCTGCATGGCTTTCATTATGGCCTTGGATAGGAAGCCATTAGCACTAGTATTAACTTCTTGCACCTCTGTTAAAAAATAGCCTGTCTGAGTCAGAGGTTAATAACAGTAGGAGGCCACTAATTAGGTTGTGCCACATTCACCTGGTATCAAACGTGGCCCAGGTCCTTCATATCTGCAGGAGCAGCAGCCTCCAAAGGCCCCAGCTGATGCTTCAACATCATGGCAGTGACTGCTCCCCTCCCAGAACATCTGCGAGGGGAGGGAGTGGGGAAAGAAAGGTCCTACAGGAGCCATTTGAGGAGAGGACAAAAAAACAGACTGAAGGTGCTGGAGGTGTGTGGATTTATACCTGCTTCATTCTTGATTATCCCAAACAGCGTCATTTCTGTTGGGACAGCTGTCCCACACAAAGCAAACCCAGTTGTTCTGGAGGCAACACCTCTGTCATAGCCCTGCACCTGAGCTGGTGCACCATCAAAAGCATGGCCCGTGAGCTGGTGCTTACCTGGACCTATTCCCATGTCCTCATCCCCCCATTGAGACCTAGCATGGTGGCACATAAGGAGAACAACTCTCTTTAAAAACTCACATCAGCATTCTGATGAAAAAAGCACCCAGCAGAACAATTTTCCTCTCCATTTGGAAGCGTTTTGCACTAATAGATGCCTCCAATAAGTCAAATGAACTCTGCCATAATGCTGGTCTCCACAGACTCATTTCGTACAGCCAAGCACAGATTTTGACTTGGACTTGTATTTCCTCATTAACATTTAAACCTGCCTTATTTTCCATCCGGAACCTGACTGTGTTTTTATTTAAGTTCCCCATTAGCTAAGGCTTTTGCTCCCTGTCTAAACCACACACATCCTTTAAAGGGCTCAAACTCAGCTAAATCAAGCCTTGCACTCATCCAAGGGTCTCCAATGTCTGAAGTAACTCAGGAGACCTTCCCATCATGAGTCACTCACTCTCTCTGTTGGGACCTCAGGCCTTGATTTCTTCCAATTCACATGTCAAAATGCTTATCTTGATACTTAACTCATTTATACTTCCAGGGGTTTAGTGATACATCATTCAAGGGGTAATATTCATGTTTTTATGGACTTGCTTAAAAAATTCGCATTCATCACTGACTACCCTTATTTCATTTGCATTTTTCCTGTCTCCAGTCTCAGGTAGGAAAACCAGCTCATTCTGCAGGTCATTCTGCCTTTTCAAGACAATCCAGCTTTTCCATACCAGTAAACATAAACCTCACTGTATATATAAGGAAGCTGCTTCATGGGGCAGGGCCCCTGGGGGAAAATCTCCAAAAGATTCATAGATATGGGAGAACATAAAGGTTTGAGGAAAAGGTAGGGGTGGTCTCCCTGGAGCCACTCTCAGGGCTGGGTCAGAGAGATGACTGCACCACAATGCCTATGCATGAGGCTGGTACACGTGAAGCCATGAGGTGCCACAGCAGGGCTGACAGCTAACCAGGTTTCTCCTTGGAATGCAGGGTGCCTTTGCTTTTGGGAAGGTCACCAAGGAGTTACATTTCAAAGCTGTAGCCACGCTTTAACCTCCAACTGGGATTTTTGTCCCAAATATGCCAGAGTTCGAACCCCTCCCTTTCTTTTACAACAAACCCTCCATCACTCTAGGAGTGACACTAAGCTGCACAACTGGTTTTGAGCAAAGGACACTGATTCATCATTAGTGGGCCTGAGCTGACCAGGTTTGCTCTGCAGCTGCTGACTTTACAACATGACAGCCCCCACCGCCCTGCTCTTCCTCACAAGCCCAAGGACGTGCCCAACCACACCTGTGCGACATTCCCTCCAAGGTTATTTTCCCACCACATTTGTCAATTTTGACCTAAAGCTGGGGGGAAAACTACAAGCAGATTGGGACATTCGCTGGCGTTTGATTTTCACTCCTGTCTTGTTACGTTGGTCCCATCTGCTGTAACTGTGAACTACAGAGGAAATGTGGGAAGAGAGGCAAATCCACCTCCTGGTCCAACACTCAGGTGACACAGTCATGTTCAAAAGAACCCAAATGCCCACCCATGACAGGGAGCAAAAGCAAAATAAAGAGAATGTGTGACTACACTTCCAAGGTGCCATGCTGATATAAAAAGCCCAGAAAGGACCACCTCTGTAGTTGATCCCTTACCCTGCAATGCTGTCACATCACCTCTTCCAGAGGGAAAATCAGGTCTCTGT